ACCTCAGTTTAACATCTCATCCAAAGGACGGTGCTTTTTGACAGTATAGTGTCCTCGTCACTATACTGGGGTGCTAGGACCCACTCAGTCCACAGGGTGAGCACCCCTTGCTGGCCTCACTAGCACCTCTTCCAGGAGCAAACTAGTTTTCCTCAGGAGGTCTCCCATCCAGGTACGGACCAGGCTCAATGGTGCTTAGCTTCAGAGGGTGACCAGGCGAGAGCTGCAGAGTGATAGACTGCCACAAAACTACTTCTTCAAAAAAGATTGTGGTCTGGAGTTCTCATCTGCTTACAAACACCACTACCTGCCCTTTAATAGTTCTCCATTGCGATAAAAGCTGTGTTAGTGGCAGCCCTGCACACTGCTATTACACAGTATTCAAGGACAACTGCTATTTTATCTCTAACTCACTGTGTTCTTTCCTCTACTGCCTATTTGATATAGCTTGCTTCATAATGGCTTTGATACACCTGTGCAGAGTTCATCTTTTGTGACCAGGAAGTGTCTTTGTAAACTTCATATCCCCTTTTGATCTAATCTCGATTTAATGAATACTGAATGTCATACGCTCCTTTTGCATGTACTGCACATACAGTGTATGGGTGATTGTGTGGACCAACTTTTGTAACAAATACAAAGCCTTGCTAAAGTATCCTGTGTTCAAATGCTAAATATGATATAATACATATTAAGACTTTTCTTTTTTTGAATAGTGCAAAAGTCAGTATACTGGTTTACCTTTGTGCTGTTATATAAATGTCTTCTTTCTGTGTGGAGTGCATATGTGCAGGAAAACTGCAAGACCTACACAATATTAAAATAATTTGGGTTAATCAGCACATATGGAATGTTAACCTCTGTAGGTTAGAATGTCTATATAGAGATGTTATAATTGATCAGACTTTGATCAGCGTTTTACACTAAATGCAACACAGGTAGGTTCTGTAAAAACTACATGAAAGGTCTTTGATAAAATACCATATCAAACCCTCTGATAAAATATTTTCTGTAACTTCGCAGCCATTAATGTTTAGAGGATTTTTGTAAAAGTCAGAAAGCCAGTGATATATCTTAGAGGTGAGTGAGAAAGTGTAGTAGAAAATTCATATTAACACAGGCATCCAAATCCTGAAGGGGCTGGAACCCAACTGCATTTGTTCATATTTGCTTACAAAATATTTTGTCCTTCTGAATCTCATGGTCATATTGATTTCCTTTTCTACATTAAAACAATATTCTGACAAAATTAAATAAATAATTTAACAGATTTTCCTTAGTTATACATCACACTTTCATTTACTTATTTATTAGATATTTCAAGGTTTTAAATAGATTAGTCATTTTAGATCTATGCAAAAATGTTTGCAAGAGAACTTGGTGTTTTTGATAACTGGTTGCAAGAAAATTGAAAATGACTCCTCAATTAAGTTTTGGATATTTATAATGTAACAACTCACAGAGAATATAACAGGCAACATAAAAAGACAAATAAAATTTGAACTAAAATTTTAAATAATTTAATCAACGATATATTTGGGCAACACAACATTAACTGTTTTCCACTGTTTACAACATACGGTCTTGTCATGCATTAACACTGAAGCATGTGTGCCAACAAATATGTATCTGAAGCGCTCCATGTTTTCGGTTTTTAAATGAAATGCAAGTTTAAATACTCAATGATTATGGTAAATTGACAAAATTGAAATTAGCCGAGTTGTAATTTGTGAGGTTATTGCAAATACTCAAGGAAACTTAAGAGTAGTCTCTGATCATTCTTTAATTTTATACAAAACATTGTAGGCTATTCGTTTTGTTAATTTAATTGTACAAATCACGAACCTATATTGTGGACTGACCAAATATGTGGGACCGCACGAAATATTTTAATAAAATTCTGTCAGAAAAAAAAAAACCTTCAGATGGCAAAGGCTGAAAGGGTAATAGCTACCACAGAGATGCTGTTTTTACAGTAAGACAGTGCAACGATTTGACGTACAACAGAAATAAAACATTGATTCAGCATGACTGAGACTGGTTGAGTCCTGGCCCTCTACTTTCAGGGGTTTTGAGTAATAACTCGTTATTCTCGGCTCTCAGTCTCTCCACCTCAATCTCCAGTTCCCGCAGGCGCTGAACACCGGTGCCGTCTGCTGGGGACTCGGGGTTTCTCCGGACGTGGCGAAGCCAGTTGTTCTCCTCTTCTAACCGTGACATACACTTCTCCAGCTCCAGGTATTCCCGAACCAGTTCTGGTTTAGACATATTTTGGAGAGTCTCGACGTGGTACCGCTCATAGGTCTCAGAAAAGTCTCTCTGCAAAAACTCTCCGCCTGCGTGCCCGGGTCTGCCCATACCGTCGCTGCCTCCGCCGCCGCCGCCGCCCTCCTCCTCTTCTTCATCTTCGCCTTCGAAATTCTCATCTTCGCTGGCCGTGTCATCGGAGCGGATCGCCCCGGATTTTCTGCCGCCCAGCTCCGTGTTGAGGTCAGGTTCTTCGCGGTCGTGCTCCTCCATCAAGAACTGGGTGGTGTTGTATGGGGCAACGGGCAGACCTTTGGCGAACATCTCAGCGCGCACCCGCGATGCACGGGCGGTCTCGCGTTCATCTAGCTCTTTCTTCTCCTCCCAGGTTAATTTGAAGTAAGGCTTCCAGCGGCGCTTCTTCTTGGAGGGTCGCCGCCGGTGTTTCTTCTTGCCCTGGCGGCCATCTGACAGCCCCTCGGTGTTTACTGTCGTGCAACCAGTGTCTCTCTTATTTGTTTTGTCCGCAGGAAAGCCGTCGTCACTTGCTGCGTCACCAGCCTTGGGCTCCGGATCACTCCTATCCCGGCCGCGACACATAGGATGTGTATCTCCAGACACCAAACCCGAACAGATCTCCAGCTGGTTTCCTTGCACTTGCTTTGAGGAGACACATGTCAGACCATCCCTCTGCCGCCCTCTGCTGTTATCCTCCGGTGCAGCTTCTTCTTTAATAAGCTCCATAACTGTACACTCCCACCTGAAGGAGATACAAGTTTGTTATCATTGAGATGAGGGACACCCTTTTAAACTGAGGTATGAATAGAAATCTTGTTCCTGACCGCTGCCATTTAAAACAATTCACCAAACACGGAGGAAAAGGGAAATGCTTTTTTAAAAGTGAACGAACATTTTAACATAAGAAACAGCATTAATAAACTCGCATTAAGTTAAATTTGAGTTACCTCACCGTTCAACTCCAATTTCGTGTTTGAGTTATTATGCTATCTAAGACTGTTAATGTGAACTCTTTCTGTTCCGACTACTATTGACTTGGTATCTTTACGGGTACGAGACCATTTCCCTCCAATGCAAACTCCAATTCGCTTCTGATACGGAGAACACTGGGGCTTCTGAATTTATTACCTCCCCCACGTAAAGGCGCATGCGGCCAGTCCTCGTTTTTTCCTGCTTTGTGGGACTTGAAGTCCCGCTAGGCATTTGCACACAACAATCTCTGCCGTAAAACCTCCATTACCCACAATCCAACGACTGTTTTCGGTCCCGGGCGGGCTACGCCCACTCGCAATTTTCACTGGATAAAAAGTTTTTGTGAGCGCACTGTCCAGTCGAAGCATTCTGATTGGTAGTTTTCATTGTCAATCGAAAAGAAAGCTCTCCCGGTTGCTCTAGTGGACGCTACCAAGCATAGCCGAAGCAGGTAGAAACATCCGCCCCATTCTACAATGCATTAAACTTTCACCTATTTACAAAGAAACAACTCTACAAATTATGTTGATGCCGCATTGTATTTACAAAGCACAACGTTGTAGTATACAATATCGCGTTTGGTTACTTTGCATCGCTACTCTTAACAATTAAACACACACCCTGAGCCCTTGTGAGGATTGATCACCCCTCAAGCAAAAAGTAGTTCTGTTTCAAGCAGTATGTTCTCCGTGGAAAGTGAATTGTAACGTTTGTATCCATGATGATGACGAATTTGCAGTTTATAACGACTTAAGTGTTTTCCCTTGTTAAAGTGAAATGTAGCAACATAAAGTAAAAAAAAACGTCATTGGGTTGTTTCTTGCATTGAGCTCAAACTATTAAACGAAGAAGCTATTATTGTTTAGCAACCTGATTGTTCGCTAGCTAACCACCTGGATGAGTCTAGATTAACGTGAATAAGCTAGCACAAGCAAACTGGTTAAAACTAAGACTAGCCACCATTTTACATGTATTTCACATAGACATTTAAATACTCGGAATTCCCTGCGGTCTCTGCTAGATATATTAGAACAGATGGATTTAGTGACAAGCTAACATTAGTTGGCAAAGCTTTCTTGTATTAGAGAAATGATTACAGATTACGCCTTCACGCTATTTTCAAAAAAACGTTTTAGAAGACAGCAATGCACTGTCTCTTCTAATTTAGAAATGGAAATGCTTGAAAAATTAAAACCCGTTGCTGTGCTCGCCCAGAAATTAAGTCGTGCTAGGGAAGTTAGCTATAGCTGCCTCGCATTTGTTGAACCAACGCGAAAACAAAACAAAAAACACACGGCCTGTTCGATATCATTTTTTACATGAAGTTTTAAAAATTCATATTCTTAAAGACTACCATTTTGTCGACAAAGGGTAAAAGCATATTTCCTAACATAGCATTGCATTCAACTTTCCATCTTAATCAGTAGTGCTAAAAATGGTCATATAATTACTGAAGGCATTTGCAAGGGCCAGAAAGAACTGGTGATATCATGATTGTGTTTTTGTGGACGACAACAATTACAGAAAGAATCGAAGAGTCCCGATACTTGGTTTAATTCCACGGGTATCGATGGGGCTGTACATGACATTTACCTAGATGAATGCATCTAATATGAAACGATAGTAGTTCCTGAAGAGATGGATTTAGTTTAATTTACTCCCCTAGATATTACTAAATGAATCGAGTACCTATTCAAACTCATTCGTTGCAGCTACACAAAGTAAACGACCCAGCAAAGTTCTATTTGTGAACAACCGCTTTAAAATAGCATGTTTAATAAAAGTAACAAGTGGATGACCATTACATAAAATCCATTTGTTTTGTTTATATATGTGTATTCTTTCATTATAGAACATGATAGTCAGAATATGCTGTTGCTGGTTCTTTTTTCTCATATCAGAGCATGTACCCCACGTGAAGGCCCCTGTAGTTATTTAAGGCTTTTTTTGATTGCATACATTTTTTTTGTCAGTTCTACAAAAAAAAGCCTGGCACCCTGCAACATCCTACAAGTAAGATCAGCAGGACTGTAATCCTTTGTTGTGGTGCAGATGGCATTTACAAGGTCAATTTCAACCATCAGCACAGAGATACTAATAAACATAACTTATTTTCAAAATACGATAATATGTATATTATATATTATTGACAAAGTCTCTGCACATGGCTACATTTAAGCAGAATTACAATGGAACACATCATGGACATTCAATTAAATAATTAACTCCAGGATGTCTCTAAGAACTGCATTCATCTTGTTCATACATTTAATCTTCCTCAGATTTCAGAGATATGAGATTATAACATTTCCTCTCTTCACCTCATGCTAACAAAGTGCTACATTTGAAGCATTGAATGCTAGGTCACAATTAATTAGTTATCATTGTGACTTCTACTTTCATTTGAACTCAATACAGTAAATTCATAAGCACACATTAATCTTTCTCTTCCTCCATCTCAGTAGAAACATCAGTGCCTGAGTCACAAAAGGCCACACTAACAACAGTAATAATGTACGTCCAGAGATGTCAAATGGCCACCATTTCTCCTGTAAAATGAAATTAAAATATTAAAGAATTCTCTTTTCTACACATAAAATACACAGCATATGATTGAGCGGTGACAAGCAGCAGTTGAGTCTTGAAATTCATACCAAGTCTATCACAAGTTTTACCTCAGTTTCTGCAGCTGTCAAGTGTAAATGGGATCTCCGCTGTAAACTTTGAGCCTTAAAACAAATATACAGATAAAAATATAATGAAAATAAAGACACATTCATTTTTATTTACTTATCAAAATCATTACTGGTGGAAATAATACAAGATGAATGAAGAAAATATTTTACAGAACAAATAAAAAAAATGTATAATGACATTTAAAGACATGCCATTATGACATCTATGACTAATCTTTTTAGAGATCAACACTTGTGCTATTTCTTCAATTCTTAAATATTTTCTATTATTTTTTTTTAAATTCAAATTAACATTTGCAAACTGAAACCATGCAGCATTCTGTCGCTATTCATTATACTGCTCAGTTTTGACAAATAACATGCACTTTTTTGGCTTTTATTTTATTCAGCTTCCTTACATTTGCAGTTGCAAGGTATTCAACCACCTCTAGTCGTTGCATGATGCTCTGCATGTCCTCGCTGAGTTGCTGGAAGGCTAGAATAATCTGCTGCTGCACCTGGCTGTTCTGTAACCTGTCAGGCCCACCCTTAGAATCGTCTCTGCCCCCTTGCCCTGAACCAGCCCCTGAGGCAAGCTGCTCCGCCCACCTAGCATTGCGGGGAGCCATATAACCTGTAACAAAAACATATGCATACATACGTTTTTTTGGTTTCAATGTAGGCGATACCATCCACACTTTTGAGATCACCCTGATCTGTTTGCACTAATAATGTGATGATGAAGTATTTTGAGTGAATTCTGCTTCAGACCTGAAGGCAATTTCATTTCTTTACCAAATCAGCATATTAGAATGATTTCTGAAAGATCAAGTGACACTAAAGACTGCCGTAACGGCTGCTAAAAATTTAGATTTACGAATAAATTACTTTTTTTTTAATTATTTTAAAATATATTATAACATAAAATTTCAAAATGTAGTAATATTATTATTATAATATTGCAGTTTTATTGTAATTGTTTTTATTGTATTTTATTCAAATAAATACAGTCTTGGTGAGCAAAACTTGTTCTTATGTATATGTTAGTCTTAAGGTTATCTGTAAGCTAGTGTTTTTCAAAACACTGATTTGCATTTGGAAGATTTATTCTGCCAATATGGATTAACAATTTTGATGACATCATTTTGCACTTTAGCTTCTCATCAAATGTTCTGTCCAATCAAATGCTCTTGAAGATCTGAAGCATCCCACTCTTAAAAGACACTAAGGTTGCTGAAATCGGTCACTTCGGTCCAGAGACAATATTGCAGAGCAGATCATATGTGGACCACCAAATGTATCCAACCCATTTGAATTCTACTCAGAATGCTATATTTTAAAGTGCAATGGAGGAGATAAAACATCAAACATTACACTGATTCTTAAGACATGGGACAAAACATGTCCAGCAATTGTAACTGCTATTAGGTTTAAAAATGAACATATTTTCAATTGTAAATGTTACGGGGGATTAATAATAGAATGTATTTTACACAATTATCTCCTTCAATTTAATTTCATTATTATATAAAATCTATGACACTTATTGTCTTCTCACTTCATCTAAAACAGTGTGTCCACAGAGAAGGGTTCAATCATTCATGTTATAAAATAGATAAAAATGTTTTTTTGTTTTTTACGATGAAAAAGAGCTTGTTTTATCAAAAGCAACACTTAATAGCTCATATCAAAGCAAGGTTGTTTTTTAGTGACACATGCATGTTTCATAAGGTTTCAAAGTTCTGTCCCCACTTTTTGTCAACACTGTCAGACATTCATTAAAATGTAAAAATAAAAATATATTGCATATATTGCTTTTGTGGATTAATAGTAATCACTTCTAGCAGAGTTAGGGTTGAGGGAACATAAGATTCAGGTAGCATAAGGCTGAGGGAACACATAACACTGGATAAAACATATCTATTCATAATACAGTTTGTTCGTATATGATAATATGTGTTCTGATAATTTTGGGATCATCTGTTAGGATGTTTAAATCTGAATATTAAGATCCTGGTGAATGTAAATGGATAGAGGTAACAACTAATTGTTTTATTTGTTCATTTAACTGTTTTTAAAAGTTACCTTGTCACCATAGCAGATGCACAGCAGACATACTGTTCTGAGATGAGAGAAAATAGATCATTTGTGTTCCAATGGTATATCAAACTACTTAAATGTGAATCTTGAATAAAAGCTTTTTAAATAATAACACTCACTGTTTGTTGTGTTTGCTTTAAAACAGTAATTGATTTATTCAATGTATTTGATCGTTAAAATGACTACAAATCAGATTAATATTTTGATAATATTTCATTATATCTTATATTTGTTGTGGAATTGTTGGTCACATGTGAAAGTGTAATCTGTCTGCTAACATGAGAATGTGTCTTGAAATGTTAAAAACTTGATTCCTTTTAAAGATAGTTAAAATTATATTACACAGTCCAAGGTAAAAAAGCACATTTTGTTAAAAAAGAGAAAAGTTGGGTGGTTGCATCAAAGCATAGCTCAGTAGCTTAGTACATATAAGATACATAAATGTAGTTTCATTTGTCTGAGTACAAGGTTTTATTTTTTCAATTTTGCAACATTTTGTCCTACTTCTCAAGAATCAGTGATTAGACATCCTCTGCATTATGAACAGCAATGGTGTGAAGAAATAACATCAGTGCCATATGCTCAAGCATATATAACACGCTTTCTAATGCTATTACTGAAAATGTTCACTTTTTTAGTAGTAACAGCTCTAAATTAAATCTAAAGAAGGAATTTATTTGACAATTTTTTATAAAACTGCACAAACACTAAACCCTACTGGCCTTTTTTTTTTTTTTTAAAGGCACACAATATATGTCCCTTCCTAACTTCCTGTTTCAGTGGAAATTACATCAACACATTGAATAATGCTGTGTGTTTCAAACACTTATCTATATAAATGAATGGGATTGCTCATGGAATTATAAACTGCATATGGTCAACACAGGTAATTGATCTAGAACAAAATATATTTCTTTATGCAAGTAATTTTGAAATAAATATTAAACAAACATATCTGAAATTGATTAAAATGTACAATATTACAACACAAGCTTCTGTTGCATTATGTTGTATTCCAATCCAAAGCAAAATGCATGCATCAGCTTTCTCAGAGTGACAGTATAAATGCTTGGAAATAAAGCTTTTATTTCCTGATTGAACAACATTCTAACTTAAGGCATCACAAATTCTATGGCATTTCTATGGCCCCCTGAACATCATGTTGACTTGGGCCCCCCTCGGTAGAAATCGCGTTGGGCCCTTGGAATCATCCTACTGCTGTGCACAATGCGTGACAGTCTCAGCTCCCCACTGGCTTCAATAAACCGTGGAAGACACGCGGCTGGACAACGGTTCATCGTTTGGCCATTCGTGCACCACTTTTGATACATACTCACTACAGCAGAATGTCAACAACCCACAAGGCACACCGTTTCCACGATCGAAGTTCCGAGGCACCTTGCCATCCCAACTTGTCCCTTATCAAACTCAGATAAATCAGCAGCTTTTCCCATTTTGACACTAAACACTCTACTGACCAAAAGCTGGTCCTCGGATGGTACATATACTGCTCTGTGAAGGGCACCTGCTGCACCATTCAGTTGTCAGGTGCACTCATTGCTCTTGGCTGGGGGTGTAATGGCTCATCAGTGTATTCACACACAACATAATTATATAACCACATTCAGTGGCGTAACTTTGCTTTGAAAAGTGGTGGGGACACCGCGCAACTTGTTTTGCTAGTTTTTTATTTAATAACCTAATTTACTTGGGGACTGGGTTTAGAGTTGGACAAACTTAATTTTTGCGTTTCAAAAATACATCGATGTACCAGGGGCGGTGCCAGAGAATTTTGAGCGCAGGTAGATCATTGACAGAGGGAGCTGGGCAATTCAGGGCTCCAGACTCATTCTTCCCACTGGTCGCTCTTTTGCGATTAACTTTCTCAGTTGGTTGCACGAGTACGTTTTTTTTATTTTTTATTTTTTTGTGCTACAACATGCTATTAATCAATGCATGCTGATGAACTTTTATTGTAGTTTATAGTTATATGGAAACGAAATTAGTTAACATTCAACCCGTTCTTTTTCATCAGTAGTATTATTTGTAATTTGAATTTTGTGAATGGGAGTTTCTCTTTTGACATGTTATAAGCCGGGCTTCAGATGCTTTCACGATCTCGTCAAGTTTTACAATAAAATATAATTGTCTGTTTTGCATATATCGATACACCTTTCACCTTTTAAGACTAAAAAAAAAAAAAAAAAGATGGATTCATTATTTTTAATTAAAATGCACAACAACAATAAAACAGTATTCAATGACAAATAGCTTACAAAACGTTATTAACAAAAACGACTAAGATGAGGTATGGCATAGGCCTACACGCTGTATTAGGCTATATAATTACTAATAAATTACAGAACATTTAGCAAACACTCAGGAATAAAATATAAAAAAAGAGAGAGAGACTCCATAGCATAAGGTGAGGTAAACAGCAAAGATAAGCTTTTCAAAATGAGAACAAAACTCACCCACTCGATTTTGTAATATTCTTTAATTTTGTAGTCCTTATGAAAAGGTGCATTTCTATTAAAGGCACGTCCATGTGGAGATGGCGAGTCAGCGTCAGCATTCGCCAACCTCATCTTTGCACCCGACACTGACTCAAAAAGCACAAGTTTATTAATAAATAATTAAAATGTCTTATTTTCCCCCCGACATGTTCATAATCACTTTGCCGGTGCTTTGAGGCAATTGCTTTAAGCGCGAGCTTGAGTGCGGAATAGGCTCTAGCCTAATTCATCTGCCTATAGCCTATATTGAAGTATGGTTAATATATTATTATATTAATCAATTTAATATAACGTGCGACTAGTTGACTAGAAACATCTTTAGTAGAGGGCAGGCCTACTTAGCACAAGGAAGCTCTCCAAAATGCTATAGCCTAATGACATTACGAAAAGTGCGACAGCTGCAAATCACGTCGTTATTGCACTGCACGAGCTATGTATGCGTAAGGAGTCAAATGTTTTTTTGTTGTTATTTTTTATCACCCTAATTAGGTTATGAAGAATGATTTGTTGATCTTGTTTTCCCTTTAATACATACCTTCCGCAATATATTTTTCAATTACTTTCAAAAAGTGGTAGAGACAATATCGACCCTGGCAAAAAGTGGTGGGGACATGTCCCACCCGCAAATTACGCCTATGACCACATTGAATAACTGTAAGTGAATTAATTGGGAAATTCCCAACTTTAATCAAATAATCATTTAAATGCTTAGGACATTAGCTTTGTACAGGGAGACTTCAGATAAAAACGGTGACTCATTAGATAATGTTGTCTTACTCAAATCAGATGACTTCCTATTAATTCAATAGAATGTGTCGGAATACTAGGGAATACCAATAGAGTGGCGCAGTGGTCAGGGGCCCTAAATAAATTCCAGGTATGGGGCCCCAGCTGTCAGGAAATATACAAACTCTGGACAGGGAGGTTAGGATAAATCCAGCAATTTATTAATTGTAAAGCAACATAAACAGGTATAGGGAGCGATGGAACGGAGAACTCAGAGTGCGGGTGGATGATTGAATAGGAATAGTCTTATTGATGAAGTTGAATGAGGATCGGAAAGCACACACCTCAGCGCCAGAGAGGTAAGTCGTTTTTAGTAGCAACTTCAAGGAGATAATCTTCGTTCAACGGAGATTATTTTCAGGAGAACTGGAGAGAGTCCGCTGGAATACTGGAGATCGCAGGATAGAGAGTCTGTAG